ACATCCTTGGTTGTGTTATAGCTGTAGAAAATTGGGCTGCATAGATCAAATTGATATATGCAACTGTTTTTGGGATATAAGATAAATCAATGCAAATTTAACACCACCTTTTTGTCTTTTTGGAAAAATATAATACGTTAATAATACGTTTTAGATTCTGCTAAGTTTACGTATCACAATGCTGCGAGCGACAACTTGATAGCCGTTGAAAAAAATGAGAGTACCCGCTTTTTCAAATTTGAATTTATTTTCTCTAACCATGCTCCATAGCCTCCTCAGTTCTTTGGCACTCTGTAAATAACATTTCGATATAGCAAACCGGCTTGGTTATAAGAAAATGATGAAATTATTGTAGAAAACGTTTATTTTGAAAAAAATAGTTTTAGAACTTTAAATTTAGTTTTTAAAAAATAGAACTAATTTAAGCATGAATTAATTTGATATCCTATTTGCACAAGAGGATCCTAATGCCATTCGGGTATTTTTGGAAATGCGTCTAACGCCGTGTTTTTAGCCAATTCGAATTTTGAACATCTGATGGGATTCAGCCTGGAAGCCGAAAAAATTCGTGATCTTAATTATCTTGGTAAACTTTGATAATTTTCCACACGAATAATGAGTCCTTAACATTAGCATCCAAATGAAAACAAAGTATCACGTGAAGTTCGATTATCTTTTTCCTCTTTTCCTTTTTCTAAAAATAGTAACGTATGTTTTGCGTGTTTCGATGGAAACTAATGCCAGCAGGGTGAGCTCTAGAATGAATATAAAGTATAGGCCGTTCGATATCGAAAGTGAATTTATTATGTCTGAATTAATGCATCTAATGGATATTTATGTATAAAGGTAGGTGACTCAGCTCCAGATATTTTTCCATTTGGTATAATTTTTTAACCATTGGCTAAATTGATTAAATTTTGAAACGTGTTTAAATGGCTTTAGGTAAACTTACAGATGGTCGAAAGAAAGTATATTTTTTTTAATTCTCCCAAAAAACGAGCATGCACATATCTTAATATTTTGAAAAGTTAGTCAAATAAGTTTTTATACATTTTTTAGGAACATAAATGATTCAACATTTGCATATTGAATCACGTGCAACTATGTGCAACATTGATGTTTAATCTAGTTGAAATTAAAAGTAATTTACTTAGTACGAAAATTCATCAACCCAACGAAATCGAAGTCAGAAAATAACCCAATTTTGAACGTAAATTTTTTTCTTCTCATGTATGCTATATGTATGAACTGTTTTAATACCTATTTCTTTTCTTGTTCTATGACATTTGTATTTAACTTCTTAAAATATAATTCAAAATGACAAAGATAATTTTGTTTACTTGCAAATGGAAAATGAACTAACATTAATAATATGCGTAATCGATGCTCAAATAGAACATTAATATACAAGTGCACGAAGCACGTGATTCTCGCACAAGTGTAGGTTTAAAAAAGCACGTGTGCGAGGTACTTTTGTTTAACTCAGTGAAAATTCGATTGATCATGTTTGGTTTTTTTAATTGGTGTGCGATGTGGATTATCTATACCGTTACGATAATGGTTGTTTATAATAAGCAGCCATTCATTTCTCAATATCGTTTTATTTATCACAAGCAGCGAACTATACTCACTGTCAGTGCGCGAAATGAATTCTTTCGCACACTGTGCGCCACAGTGCTTGTGAACCGGGCATTTCGCACACTACCAACAGGCATGGGAAATCGAATTTTGCACACTGAGTTCAAAAATATATCTATATTCAATGATTTACAGATAAGATTTTCGAAATCGTGCACCGGAAACCGCAAATTTGCAACTTAGCTGAAATTTTATATTTAACGCTCCACATGATTCCTTATACATGGACGTAACTAACAAATTTTGTATTTGCATTTTTTTTCGTCGTAAACGACACTGATAAAAAGTGACATTAATAAAAAAGAATAGTGGGAAAGATCACAAGGCAGGGGGGAAGGGATTTTTTTCGTTTTTTTCAGTCTGTTTGCTAGACCCAGTAATCTATTGTTATATCTCGTTTATTAAAATTTATAAAAATTTTCAATAGTATAGTCTCCACGAATTTCTGTTTTTTTTTTTTTTTTGACAGATCGAAAACAATGAAATTTTTAGCAAGCTACAGGTGGCAGTGAATATATATTTCTTCTACATACATAGAACGCATGTGTATGGTTTTGCACCGAGATATATTTTATGTTTCTATTTTAGCCCACGAATTTTTTTTTTTTTTTTTTGACAGATCGAAAACAATGAAATTTTTAGCAAGCTACAGGTGGCAGTGAATATATATTTCTTCTACATACATAGAACGCATGTGTATGGTTTTGCACCGAGATATATTTTATGTTTCTATTTTAGCATATATTTCCATAATTTGATATAAGGCCATGTTCGATTTTTTTCAGGATTGCATTATTTGCGGAATATCAAAAAACATCGAACTCGTGGATTAACTATAGGCACCTAAAAAATTGTTAAATCTATTAATATTTTAATGGAGGGAACAAGGACAGATGTTTATGTATTTTTCGCACATTGATATCGAGTGACAACTCCTAACTACTTTCAATTTAAAAGATATAGAAGATCTGTGGCCACGTTAAGGCGACCTTAATGTTACCTTAAAACTACATTAAGGATCATACGTTATACAGTTACTCTATCGTCCCTATACTTAAATGTAGCTAAGAACCCAAAAATATTTATGGGGTAGAAATACCGTTTGTGGAAACCGTATCATTTTTGGTCACACTTGTCAAGGCTTTCATTAATTTCTGGTACTACCAAAGTATTAAATTTGTCAATGAAACACAATAACGTTAGTTGAAAATTACGCCTGAAGAAAATTTAAAAAAAAACTCTTTAATGTTTGATCATTTGAAGATTGATTTCTCTTGATTAAAGCACCTTTTTCCCATTATTGGCCATTGCCTTAATTTATATGTAATCAATAAATGGATATAAGGATTGGGTGGCCACATATGGTACTAAGGTGATGAATAATAGTACATCTGACCTATTTATAAAAATACCTTTATCTTTATTACGTCATTTGACTTTGTTTATTAAAATCTGAACTTCATTGCAATACAGTCAATCATGACTGTAATATAGGAACTGTTTTGATTATTGCATTTTCGAATTTCATTTAAATATTTTCATACTCCTCGCATCTGCTTTACTGTGAAAATATTAAATACTTTATTGGCACATGTGCTATAGCGTTAAACGCTTAGCGCCCCAATTGCAATGTCAAAACTTGCTATTGCGCGTCTATGCTGCCTGACTGACATTGGCGCAAGTGTCAATCAAGTAGTTAGAAGTAATTATGTGCTAAAAGCTAAAATCGTCGCTCAACATTAGAATATTTTTCGACAAACAAATTACGTAGTTGAGATATAGAAAAACCATTACGTACGCTGGTTACAGATTATAATAACCAAAGGAGTGAAACGTTGAACAACGATTCCGTCGTTGCCCACAGTTCATAAGCGCTGCTTTTGAAATTTTAGGATAGTCAGTTGTTATTTGAATTATTTAGTTTATACAAAAATACGTATATATCCTATCAATTGACTTGTTCAATTTCTAACTAGTTTAATCATGGATATGAATTATAATATGCATTATGTGTTCCTCGTAAACGAAATAGAGATTTGAGAAATATAAACACATAAATTTAGACAAAAGAATCTTTTTTTCTTTTAAAGTTACTTTGTGTTTATGAAACATTATGGACTTTTTGTATGTCTTATATAATCGAGGTATTGGAATGCTGTATTCATTCGTGGAAGCTAACAATTTTTTTGTTAAAAAAATGATGCCTTGGAGCATTGGAATTTTGTGCTATCTCAAGGGATGCGCTTTGATGGTCGGGATTTTTATTGATTTTCACGATTTTTTTTCAGTGTGATTGGATAACAACATTAAAAACTTTTTTTTACTAAAAAAATATATTATCTTAGATTATAAAGATAGATTTTGTTATATTTTTTAAATATTTTTTAGTACATTCAATCAGGGGTTAAAGTTGAGTGGTATTAAGAAATGACCATTCGCAAAGCAGTGATTCAACTCTTGATTAATTTAATATTTGAAAATTCTTGATTAGTACGAGTATGATTGTCACCCCTAGTAGAATTAACAATTTAAATTGAAAAATGACAAAATTGCGACTAGTGGTAAAAAAATATCCAAATTTGCCCTTTTTATAATCAATTCTCAATAACAAAAAATAGGAAATTATTAAGATAATAATTTAATTCTGCTACGGTACAGCGCCAGTGAGCTGTAGCGTACTGTGTAAAAATTCGAGTTCGATCGGATGGACAGTTTTGTTTTCGTAGCTCCGCTAGGTGAAAAAAGTCGATTTGAGAAAAACGTGATTAAAATTTGAGAAGGAACTTATTATTCGTCTCCTATATTTTAAAGTCCTTCGATTTCACTTTTTCAAAGTATTTTTCAAAGTCTATTCTCTCGGATTCTATCAAAAAGCAAAAAAAAAACTATTTTTTTAAATTTCAAAATGAAAAATGAAATTCATTGAAAAGTTTTTGAAAGTTCGGTGTGAGCGCCGCTTTATGGTCCCGGAACTAATCGATCGACGTAAGATCGATTTCAAGACAGTCTCCGAAGTATCGCAATGTCTTCTTTAAGTCATTGAAGTAAATCCAGAACTTGCTGTTTCTCACATTTACACGCTTATCTACGACACGCGTCACGAACGCCTTATAAATATAATAAGTTGTCAAACTGTATTACAAACACAGTTTGGCGCTTGTGATACTATCGTAATCGTGTTTACCGCTCAGCGATTCCAGCTCCAGCTAAGACGCATTAGAGCTGCATAAGACATCGGTGGGAAAGCCAAATATTTTTTCTAACGAATGGCGCAATCGCGTGACGGCCTCATGCATCGTTGATTTCATTTCAATTTAATTAATTATCTATAATATCATATGTGATTTCGTATCGCTCCTTACGTCATTTTGGAGACGCCTTGCTTCCATCTCCTTCGGCACGCAACCTCCATTCAGATTTTTACTTTTCTCTAGCATGCTTTGTACCTCGGCCAAGGTCTTCCCCTTCGTTTCCGGTATACTGAAGTGGATGACGATGGCGTTTGCAAACGTGGCAAAGGCGAATATTGCAAACGCGTATTGGACACCAATGGAATCGGTAACGACCTAAAAAAAAGATCGATATATCGATCAATTAATCGCTGTATCGTAAACGATTTTCTATGATCGGATAACGGATTTACTTTCATAACTAAAAATAATCTCACCTGCCACAAAACGGTGACCATAATCCCGGACAAGGAGTACGTGAAATTGACTAGTAGGATAGCTAAATGACGAATTTCTACAGGAACACAATCCACAGTGATTATCGTGCTGATCGGTGAGAGTCCAAGACCGAAGAACGTCGCGTAGAGCAGAATACCGATCACCGGAAACAGCTTGATGTGCTCGAGATCGGTACCGGTGGATTGAACATGGAAATAGAGACCCATAGCTGCCAGACACGTTGCAGACCCAACGGCAGACCCGAGTACCATGGGTCTTCTACCGATCCTGTCGACGATACCGGCGGCTGCTACGGCGCAGAATAACTGAACGCAGCCCAGAAGAAGACCAACGGTTTCACCGGAAACCAATGAATCCCTATCCTTGAATATCAACTGAGCATAAGCGTTCACTGCCTGAATGCCAGACAATTGTTGTGCTGAAATTAGATCGGTTGCGTCATAATTTTAAAATCGTTACTTGAAAATGTCATTAAACCCGGTAACGGTATATCAATCTATTCCTTACACAGTTGCATTATGAAAGCGATGAACAAGGACCACCTGTTGACGCGTTTAGCGAAAATCGATTTGAAAGTCGACCACGAATTCAAATCGACTTTAGCTGGGTTAGCCTTTTGCACCAGGTACTTTATGTTCGCCAATTCGTCGTTGACGTCCTCCGTTCTTCGGAGCTGGACCAAAGTGCGTCTCGCGTCAGAAAAACGATCTTTGCCTGCGTACCAATAGGGAGACTCAGGCGCACATATGAAACCGAATCCAAAGAGGATAGGCAGAATCAAACTGAGAAATGCAGACTGTTTGAACGTTAGGTATGGTCCAATCCCGAAGGCCAGAAGGAAACCGAGATTTACGAAGATGCTGCAGAAGCCACATAGGAATCCGCGAATGGCCGACGTGGATATTTCAGATATATACATTTCCGTTGATAAGAAGGCACTGCCAGCCAGATAACCGACCAGTACACGTCCAATATAGACCTCCTTGAAAGAGATAAGATAATTCAGGTGAATCAGACTTAAAAATCTTTTAACGATAAAATCAATATGTCTGATTAATATCGATTGGACTTACCCAAATTGTCGAAGCGAATCCTATCATCAGCCATCCTATGACACTGGGAATGATGGTGATAAGGATAATTCTCTTGCAGCCAAATTTAGATATGAACAACGTGGCAGCAATAGTGCCCAACATCGAACCAATGAAAACACAACTGGCAGCCCATGCAGCTTCACCTTTTGTCACTTTAATTGGAAAATCATCTGCCAGCAGTTTGGGAATTGCTGACATCGCCCATCCGAGCGTCGTTCCCATTCCCAGTATATTTATACAGGCTGCAAGTAAAGGAGGATGCGTGACGTCAAGATGGACCAATTTTCGTTTCGAATTGCAAGACGCGAATTGGATCATTAAAATTATTAATGATTAATTAATTATGCATATTCGGCATTGCTACTCTGATTCTATTCATTCTGTATAGCGGAAATTCAATTTTCTTTTTTGGGTAGATTGCGATGATAATTGAGGTTTTACCATGTGTGATTTATTGTATGGAAAAATTATTTAAAACGGGACCAAATATTGAAACAGTAGGTAGTACGTAAGATCGGTGACAGTTGAAACAAGGTATGGAATGAAATAAAATCGATTAATCTTTTATCTATTGGCAATGAATAAATTATAATTGCTAAATGAGCTGAACATTTTGTTAGTTATCGGTAACGTCAATTCAGACGTAATTCGTTTGTATTCAGACCGGCACCAGTCTGTCGACGTAACAGCCGTAATAGGCTTTGTATTGAACTGAACGCTGTGTCTTTAAGTTTTTATCAGCGAGAAGGGGAGAATGGATTAGAAGTGTGGAAATAGGAAGTAAGTAGGTGAATTGAGTTTTAGAAAATCGAGGTTTTACTATAATGTAAAGTTATCGTTGAAAATTTACCTGCCAACACTATCAGGTAGAGGACTACGTTGTTTCCTCGAACAGGCATGTATTTGGACACCATTGTCGATGAAATTCTGGAAGTCAATGAAAGATTTATAAGTTCATTTAATATTGAATTAGGTGGAATAAAAACAATTTGTGTATCTTAATTACGTTTAAGTATTTACTTTGTAATTCCTTCGCGTTGTAATTTATCTTTGACGTTTTTAGTTCTTGCAAAAACTGTCGACAGTTTTTGATTTTTGATTTCGCGCTTTTTATGGAAATTCTTGAAGGTGGTTCGATCGCTTTGAGCATCACCAGAATACGGATTCTGAATTTTGTATATGTTATCGATAGGTACTGAATGGTTGTGTATGCTAAATTTGAAAATTATTTACTAGTCTAGTTTACGCGATATACGAAATTGAAGTAACCAAAAATGCACTATATAGATATATTTTACTCGTTGAAGTAGCAATTTTTTTCGGAATATCTCAGTCACCAGATGATGAAAATAGATGAAATTTCCAGGGACAATGTTTTTCCATGGAACATTACTACGATTACCCTTTTTTTTGTCGAAAATCGTGAAATTTTCGAAATGTTCGAAAGATACGTTACGTAGGAAATATTTTTCCTAGGAAAGATTTTCTTACTTCAGTGAATTCTTCCTTCTTTTTATACGCCACAACGTGATCGGTAAATTTAATAAAAAATTGTGATAATTTCAAATAATGAAAGTTAAGTATACGCCATAATTGAAAAGAGTACCTCGCGAATAAACATTCAGATGACAACAGGATAATCGTGTACCAATGATAAAAGTCAGATTTAATGCAGCGAACAAATGACCACGTGGTTACCAACATTCAAGTCTTCCGCTTTAATAACGCGCACGCGTGCAATTCCCTACGTAGTCTGCGCTCCCTACTGCTTGATTCTAGCACGAATCGATGCTCTATTCCGGGTATCCATTCATCCTGACCTTGCACGTTCTCAGACCCTACAGTTCCAGAAGCCCCGATACTTCAGCAGATCTTTCATTCTCTCGAAGTGAGCCAATTCGAAAAATTCCTACAAAGAGATAACGACTATCGTTATCAGATAGATCGCTAAAAATAATAAATTTTCACGACTCATTTAGTTTTAATTATCAACAGGTAAAGAAAAGTAATAAATTGTGACACAGATAAAAAAGTGGCCAAAGACAAAGAAATTATCGAAGAATAAAATGTCTGTTACTAATGATATGACGCATACAGATATTAAACATCTAACATCGGTAAAATTGTACACCAGATCGATTAATGTGTAGGCACAAGTATCTAACGAGCCATAGGTGCGCATCAGCCTAGCAGATCGTCTTTGCGCCACAACAGGAACAGCAACATCGAAATATCCTCTGGCGCAGTCGCTTTGACATCATCGGATCCCACTTGCGTATGTAGGTGCGTTATGTTAGTATGACACGTTGGTAGTTGGGCAGGGGGTTTATCCGTGTAATAGAGAGACAGAGAGAGACGACGCAAAAGTAATTGAGAGAGAAAAAGAGAGTAGAATAAAAAGAGGGGGACAGAACGATCAAAGGGAAGAGAAAAAGAATCAGGCCAGAGACGCTGGCTTGAAAAAGTGAGATTCAGGGAATATAAGGGTAGGTGAAATGGGGTATGGGAGTTCGAGAGAGATAGGGTAAGAGATAGAGAGGGAGCGCGGAGAAAGAGAGAGGAGAAGGTCCAACTGCTCTAGAATACAAGAGAAAGCCGCTACGATGTACCGCAGTAGGGGTGGCTTCGCTCCAGGGCTGGTTGCTCCCTTGCAAAAGCGCTATTGACACGTTACCAAGTGCGGGAGAAACGGTAACGCGTTCGGCTGTCAGCAAGTCGCGTTTCCATCGCGTAGCCAGTTGACGTTTAATCCAGTTGTCAGTCCGTCGGGTCGTGATGCTTTTGCGCGAGGTGCTGATGTCTCAGCTGACCTCTCGGTACGTCCTGGGGTTAGTTCAGGTCAGGCTGTAGGTACCCGTAGGTAGGGACCCGAAATGACCAGGTGAAGAGGGCTCTCGAAAGGCGAAGCAAAAGGGTTTGACAAGCGGAGACGTCAAGTGCATTGTGGCCAATTGACAGACCGACTGACAGTGGAAAATGGCAGCGGGACGACGTTTGAGGATGCTCTGGGAAAATGGCAGCTTTGCGAATCCTTTGGGAGGCTGGTGAAAGGATCTGTCAAGAGTACTTGTGCACATGTTTTATTCCCATCGAAATGACTGCGATATCAGTGCGAGCAACTTTGCACAGCGTGCTCGAGTATTTCTGACACTCGGTCCAGGATCTTCGATGCGAAGGATCGCGAAGTGTCAGGTGGGACTGATAAGGAAGTTTTAGAAGAAAAATGATTTTCCGTCAATTTTTGAACGACCTCGCACTCTGCCAGAGTCGAATCTGGTGACCGATAAAGTGCTGGTAACTGTGACTTTTGTTGTTGCGCAATCACAAACTTCGATCTGTCAGATACCCTGACGTCTTTCTAATGTTTACGCAAATTTCGCAAATTCGCTACACAAATATAAATTTTTTATATAACATATGTGATATTTATCAACAATCACAGTATTCCATACACATGCGAGAAATTATAATTACGAATCGAATTGTCTAGGGAATATTTATATTCGAAATTTGATTTAATTTTCGGAATATATTCGAACAAGCGTGACAGGCGAGTACGTTCATGTGTAACAAAACTAGATAAATACATGAAAAAACATGTACATCCATTTTAAATTTCTACGATTATCATTTCTGACTATTGTGTCAGGTGGGTCTGATAAGGAATTATTAGAAGACAAATATTTTTCCGTCAATTTTTGAACGACCTCGCACTCTGCCAGAGTCGAATCTGGTGACCGATAAAGTATTGGTAACTGTGACTTTTGTTCTTGCGCAATCACAAACTTCGATCTGTCAGATACCCTGACGTCTTTGTAATGTTTACGCAAATTTCGCAAATTCCCTACACAAATATAAATTTCTTATATAACATACGTCATATTTATCACAGTATCCCATACACATGCGAGAAATTATAATTATGAATCGAATTGTCTAGAGAACATTTATATTCGAAATTTAATTTAATTTGCGGAATATATTCGAACAAGCGTGACAGGCGAGTGCGTTGATGTGTGATCAAAACGAGATAAATACATGAAAAAAATTGTACATCCATTTTAAATTTCTACGATTATCATTTCTGACTATTGGGATTGGACGCGTTTACAAGAAATGGAAATACAGCGAGGATGCTCGTGCAGCGTCTGTGCGATTAATGAAACTGGGAAAATAATGACTGCAGGAGTACACGTAGCAATTAAATAATTCAACCTTAACGTTGAAGACGGTCGGTGCGAAGTAACAATTTTAATTCATAACGAATTACACGAGACTCGTCTCTAACGAAGCGAGTCTTCGTGCAGTGTTTATCGTTTGTGGTATGCGATTATACGATGACTGGTATGAGTCTACAGTACGCACTTGTATAGTCAATTGATAAACATACTAATCGCCAGGAATTCATAAATCAAGTATATATAATTTAATTTGATCAAGGATTTCTCACGTGCGTCTGACGGCAATTTGTCTGGGAATGATCACCCGCATAACAGATAGAAATAATTTCCGATGGATCTGTATATATATATATATATACATATACGTATGACAAGTTTTCACAAATCAATGTTAAGAAAAAACAGTAAGATCTTTATTAAGCATAGTATCGTTATACGAGCAATATCTAGGTAATTTTATGAACGTAGAATATACGTAGAAAATTTTTTTTTTCGCAAGAATGAACCTCGCAGCTTCAAAGGACGCAGAGAGCGTCCTCGATATGTGGAACGTTCGAAGGCGCCAGACCGATATAGATAATAATAACAATGTTGATGAAAAAATAGCACGAAAATTGTACACGTAAATAAGCAGGACTAGAATGCGGTTGTTATATCGTTAAAATTATGTAGATAGAAGCTTACTCAGTTCTCACCTGTAAAAGTCTTTAGCTGAGTCGTTGATTGACCGAAGATAATTTTTCTGACACTTAATCCCACCGAATGACTTTAATCGCACTGTAATGCCAATTTGAATTAAAATAATTTGTTCGTTTCACGATGATACATTAATATATGGCGAATGAAAATATCTTTCAATTATATGTATCCGTATATCGGTGCTTACGCTTGACACCAGTTCCTAGTGTGATATATAGTATAAAAGCAGATATACAAATATATCGGCAGTATTAGGATGAGAGCACGAGATTCGTTTGGACGAAAAACAAATAGTTGAATATCCGCTAGTTGCCTTGTTGAAGTTGATAAATATATTTCGTGATAACTCACACGTGTTATCTGCGCAGTTGCAGTAAAATTGTTAAGAAAAAAAAAAAGCACAAAGTTGTTGACACTAGAAGTTCGTAGTTTGGCTAACGTTATTTTTTTGAAAAGGTCGCGTTTTTTTAAATTTCGAATCGCCTCGCGCAGATCGTAGTAGCGAATTGTAAATCAATAGTCGAAGTGAACGCGGTATAATCGCGGCAGTGAGGATCTGCCTTGAAAGGGTAGGAAAATTGGCGAGCGATCAAAATAAATAAGGGCTGTTGCTCCTTCGACGTACCGAGAGGAAAGAACGCTCCGGACAGGTGAGAAGAGCTGATATAAAGCAGAGAGACAAGAGAGAGAGGAGAGGTGCACAGAAGAGAGACGGGAGTACGCAGCACCTGGTATTAAGGTTTTACGTATGGATTGCGCTATCGACTCGGACGTCAGGGGGAGATTCAAACGAATATCAACCGTGTATATTCAGGATACGTACGTAGTTTTGTATGAGCTGAGGATTGTTGGATGGGAGGAAAACCTACGTACGGGGTAAAACCTGGCTGGTCACGTGGGTTTAAAGGTGATATTCGTAAGCGGTGTCAAGGTGGTTTTGACTAAGTTACTTCCCGACTGAGTCGTCTGGTGATTTTATTCGGCGGCCGCGAAGATACAATTTTCTGGTTGTGATCGAGATGGGTGCCAGAGGATGGGAATACGAGGCTTTGCCTGATCTTCATACGTCGACCGTCGTGACGCCATCGTCGACGCCTCCTAATAACGCACAGAAGGTACCTGGATCTTCGCCCAGGGTCAACTTTCAACCGGATAATCTTGCTACCACTAGGAGACGCAGTAGCGCGCGTTTGGCAGCACCGTCGAGGAGGAGAAGTCGCAGCATGAGCGCCTGGAGCGATTTGTCTAGATCTTCCTTCAGGATGGACGAAAGGTGGGATTATTTTCTAAAATTATTATAATTATATTTGTTGTTTTTTAATACTCTTTCATGGTTCATTTCATTGTCATACAGCCGACTTTCGTTTATCTGAGCTTGCTCAGACGAGGCCATTTGGCTAATTGGGACGGTACCCATGATAAGATATGCCCTGTATCTGCGGCTCATTAATGTTGATGTTAGGATCCGATTTTTGAAAAATTGGATTCGAGCGTGTCTTTTCATTTTTTTCCTTCATTGATATATTTAACTTGATGATAGCTATGTGATACGAATGATACTGATATGACGCTTGGGAGTAGTTTGGCTGGTAAAAAATCAGTAATTAGTTTTGGATATCGGGCACTGATGGGCAAAAATTTGTTTGGATCAATCGAGTGACGATGGAGTTTTGCTGTACTTCAGATAATACAGAATTATAGATAGGTATTCTATGACGTGTCTTAAAGGATGTCTTGCCTACCTTACTATTGTGGAAGGGTTAACGGTACAGGGAAATTTTGTTAGGGATAGTTTTCCAGGAGACGTAGGCGGATAATTTTATCTTCTCTATTTAGAGAATCAATTTTATTCATTAATTTGAAAATTGAATTTTCCTTATATGCATTGCATCAATGTTTGCTTGTGTCAATTATGGGCAATCTGCGATTAGTTACGTTACAATACTCTTCTTAGAGTTGCAGATGTTTCATTAGGATTAGTATGCTTAGAATTCTTTATTAAATATGTTCGATTTTTTTATAGCTCTTCTTATATTGTATCTTCATTGTGAAGTTTTTTCTTTTATTACGCTGTTTATTTCAGGTTTTAATTGTTTGCTTCCTGGGAAAACTTGGAAGTCGCACGCAGATGCGTTAAAATTTACAAAGCACTGGTGTTCCCATTAGGGTGACGTAGAATGAAGAAATCTACTTTATTAACAGGGGAATGAAATCCTTTGCAGGATATGCAGAATATAAAGTTATTGACTGAATGTAAATAGATCAGACATGTCCGTCTATTCTGTGCCTTGGAATTTTTATGTGTAGAATATTCGAAAGAATTATACGAAAGAAAATAGTGGTCCATAGCAAACTCCGTAAGTCGGACGTCAGTCAAGTGCATCGGTACCCGGATAATTTTTAAAGTCTATTTTTTTTAAATGAAGCCTCATTCAGAACGTTTATTCTGCAATTTCGATTTATTCTTCCATAAGGAATTATCTACTTTTTGGTTGTACCATGATTTTCGTTCCATCCTATATATCTATATACAGGGTCTCTCATCGAAAGTGCACATCTCGATTATGTCCGTTACTAATGAAGATACGGGGAAAAATTTCAGACAAAAATTGTATGGTTTCAAGAGGGTCGACTTTTTATCTAAATTATTTTTTTTTTATATTCACTTGATTTCAAAATAGAGCACGTTACATGTTTTTTTTTTTAAATGCAATATCATTTTTCGTTGGTATAAGAAAATGTAGCTCTTTTTTTTTCTTAACATTTTAAGACCTTGCAGACTAAAATTCATCCAGCCATTTCCAAGTTATCAAGAAGTGAATTTATTGAACAGTTTTCGGCTGCGAAATTAAAAGCGCGCGAACCTTGAATGCGCTGGCGGCGATGCAACCGAAGATTGTTCAATAAATTCACTTCTCGATAGTTTGGAAATGGCTGAAAGGATTTTTGTCTGCAAGATCTTAAAATGTTAAGAAAGAAACGCGCTACATTTTCATATACCAACAGAAAATGATGTTCCCTTAAAAAAAACGATGTAACATGCCGTATCTCGAAATCAAATAAATATAAAGAAAAATCATTTGGATGAAAAACAGATACCTTTGAAACCATACAACTTTTGTCTGAAACTTTTTTTGGTGTCTTCAATAGTAACGGAAAATAATCAAGGTGTGCACTTTCGATGGGACACCCTGTATAGTATTTCAATGGGTAAAGTCCATTTGTAGGTGTCCACGATATTCCTTGTACAGTCTCTTTAAATATTCAATCGATGGTAAAAGACAAAGCGGAGGAATTTTCATGAATGAAAAAAAATTTATATTTTGATATCGGTGATTCCAATTTCTTATTATTTTTTATATTAGATTGATGTAAAGGGGCAATATTATGTATTATGCTAATTACATCATAATTAAGCTTTATCCTAAAAACCCTATTCGTAACTAGAATTTTTAATGGGATTCCCCGTATTTGTTCAGGTCTGTACCAAATTCTGCGAAGTTTCCTCAAATCGGCAAAATTATTTGATACGTTTCCAGGACCGTTAACAATACTAAAGTCAAAAAGGAGGTCTCTGTTTAAAGTAAACTTATCCAGCTATTCGTTCATAAAATATGAAATATTTTTCAGAAATTATTTTTTTTATAAAAAGTTATAATTTTTTTTTGTTTTTTTTTAATAGCTTTTTCGTGAAAAAGTTAATGACATATCACGAATCAGGCTTGGCTATTTAAACTATCTTAATTCGGCAGATAAGAATAAGTATTAGAATATTTCTCTTCAATTTTTCGGCCGACCCAATAAAATAATTTTGAAAATATCACGAGAACCAGGTGCAGAAATAATATTTTCGAAGAAATGATATTAAATTTTAAAGAGTAAACTTGTTGCGAAAAAAAAATATATTTATCAGAATCTTGCGCAGCAACTAGATTAATATTTATGTGGACATTATCAGGACAGATATAAAAAAAGAATATCAAAGGCTTAAATCAAATCGTTTTAAATGTTATGATAATAATACATTTTGAGATTGCAAATCGTATCTATTATCTTATTTTTTATTTGCGCAATCTGATTGTTCATTAAGAGTAAGAATTACCGGCAACACAGTAAGGAAGATGATTCGCGTACCCAACAGACCGGTTATTATTCATGAGATAATTTTTTATAATTAATACCTTGCTAATGCTCATACTATAATTACACATGCGCGTGTGTGACAACAAAATATTTTTTGTCGATAAACCTGTTTAAATAAAAATTTTTTGAAAAAAAAACTAAGCAAAATGTCCACTACCGTGTCTAGATATTTATCATACCGAGTCTCATGTCAGTGATCATAAAATAAATCATAATCAGCATTTCCAAATGCATTATGCCAAAGTGAAAAATTTTAAAACAATATTTTTTATTATATCCGAATAAATAATGAACAGCATAGCACTGTAATTCAAACATGATTTAATTAATTCTCATTGCAATATCTCCGTTCGTAGAAAATTTATAACCACACTATTTCCACGTATTTTCGTTATTTTTAACAAAGTGAAAAAACATCTTTCCTTTGAAATATCGTGCGTACGTGGGCTTTCGCAAGATTCTTCGAATGTGCAATCACAAAACTCATACACCCGTATCATTAAGAACAACAGTTACAGGATAAAAAAATGCACTTAGCACCATGTAAACTCCCGCAGCGTCCCAACGTCATAAGGCGCGCCTCGTCCACTCATACCAGATCCTAGTACAGGAAACTAGGTAAGCATGCGACCCTGGTGGCCGACACTGAACTATTCGAAATGGCCCCTGAACGGGGTCGAACCGCGAAAGACGTTGATACGTTTTAGACTGAAATAATTGTGCAGTTGGAGAATATTGTCAATTTGCTAAATAATATGGTTACGAAAAACGTGTCTGAGATGGCATAAATTTTTCTGTGTTATTCGCAATGGGCTAAAAATTTATTACTACGTAACAAAGCTTTGAGCAATGTAGCTGTTACCGTGAAAGACCGAAATCTGGAGAATGTCGACTTTCACCGGTGAATGTCAACATTCACATACTCGCTTGGTGTATGTTCGAAGTATTAGCCAAATACCCTTATTTCGGACCTACACCAGTGAAAGTCGACAATCTCCAATTTCGGTATTTCACGGTAACATAACTATAAAATTCAAACCTGAACTTTAAACCAGCCATGACGGTCCGAGGATAGCGCCGCCACCGGTAATCCGTGATACCAATGGGAATTAAAGGCTTCTCTCGATATTAAATACATTAGAATATATTAGAATATATTGGAATATCAATACATTAGAATATCCGTTCTACTAAATTACCATCGATCATCGTAAACCAATTCCGTATGGCCTCAAGTTTCCATTGCATTTTCTGCTTATAGCAAGGTCTGATCTATTGGGATCAAACCACTGAAAGCTTTGATCTGTACGATAATCAGGATATACGTCATGTTCAGAATTAGCCTGAACCATATTAGCCCAGACAGACCGATCCGAGCACGTAGTGATTCTATATTCAAGAAATCGATTGTCCGAGAGCTCACGAATTTTTTATACCATCGCTCGAGGCTAAAAAATATTCAAAATTAATTTTCAAATTTACACCCTTATTCAAATTTATAGTAAATGAATGTAGCAATCTTTTAGTGTATATGGCAAAATAATACTTTTTAGATAGGACACTTTAATAAATGTGTGTTAGCATTATGCAACTGCTATATTGATGGTGCAGTCGAGTTTATTTTTTTGTGTCCGAAATCTGTCTACCTAAATGCAGCCTAGTTAGAACTCCACTTAATTTTTTACACGGGAAATAGAAATATGCGTGTTTAACCGAACTATCACAGTACGGCGGAAATAAAAAACAAATTTGAGGTGAAATAAATTTTTTTTCATTCCCCTATGAGGTGAACTTAAACCATTCAAATTTAGTGTATACTCAGGTAGGGTACGAATGAGGTAAAATTATTGGCCTCTTTTAACCCAATGAACGAAGAAGTCACGTGTGACCGATATTGCAAATTCTTTTTGCACTTTCATTTCCAATTTTTAAGGCAGTCTTTTCATGAGAATTAATATCAGACGGGTACCTAAATTTGATATACATTGAATATACAGTAACAATGGGCATGTGAAAAAATAGATCAGATTATCTTCATTTCACAAGAAAAAAATGACGTTCAAAGACTACTTGTATTTAATGTACACTGCTATGGCAAAATCGGCACGTCCGTATTTTCAATAAATAACATATGTACGTACAATTTGAAGATAAATAATCATATTAATAAATGTCCAATATCCTACAATTATTTGTCTGCAAGCTCACGAAGTAAGTGGAGTCACGTGAATAAATCCACTTAAGGAATCTTTCAGAGATGATCTTGATGACTAGAATATCCTACACGATTCGTTGCTTCTTTCAATAGCTTCAGGTCAGGCTGTCAATAGGAAGCGTTTAGCACGTCTTTTTTTAAACATTATCAGAAAGAACGTTAACTCGATCTCTTAGGAGTGTCCTAATTCTTTTTTTTTATTCAATAATCAATTTCTACAATGTTGCATTTATCTGAGGAAATGTTTTAAAAATGTGACAAAGTCGTCTTGCAGTATGATATAATTTATTGTGTCATAAATTCTTTAGTCAAAGCGCACGTGTGTTATTCATCGCTAGCGAACATATATGTTATTATTTTATAACATACTTTTGTATAACTTGTTTTTTTTTGTTTCAGGTGAGTACATTCCCTGTGATCGACCCAGAGCCGAATACGTCGTTGTGAGTACATATTTTCCCGTTTAGTCGGAATAATAGGTTCTCATCTATGTGCAATTCGTATTGTTATTTTTATTACGCAACTTACCACGTATTGACTGGTTGCGTAATTCTTTCCAGTCTCTTATTCGTACCATTTGGGAAATTTGTTTAATTATGCTAATTACGAAATACTATATAATAAAGGGTGAGTAGTTTATGAATATAAATTTTGCACGGTTATGATTACTATGGAAAATAGGAACGCTAGGTCGTTTTGGTATTGCATCATGCTTTACAGATATGGTCGGAGATTTTTTAAAACAGCTGTTAATTCTTAAACTGTTTTACCATCTTTAGTAAAAAATTGGCAGATATGACAGTAAAGAAATGAATTATGATTTATGGTTAGAATTTTATGATTTTTAACGACATTTATGGAAATCCACTATTTTTATTTATTTATTGGCCTGAATAAGAGATAAAAATAATCTATTTTATGGTTAAAGTTTATATTTTCTAAGTCTTGATTCTTTGGCAAATGACAACGGGTCGTATAAATTCCTATGAATTAGGCTAGTTGGCATATTTTTTATGTACAGAGTTATTTAGTAGAAATGCACCATATCAAGCTAGCGCGCCATTTGAGTATTATGGTAAAATCTTGTTTTTTTTTTTTTGGACAGATTGTAAACAATGAAGTACTCTAGCAAAATATTCTCATTTTGTTATTTTACCATATATTTATATTAGTTTATGGAAAATGACGTGTTATTTGGTTAGGACTGCGTTGCTTACGAACTGCTAAAAAAAACTACACCAAACTCGTGGATATGTAAGACTCAATAAGGAAAGATAATATAACGCGTGTTACGTTTTTGTGATATGATGATTTAGTATATACTGGTAAAGATGTTTCAAATGTATTATAATTTATTGAATGTAATATTTGACTGTAATTAACTTCCAGACTGCTTGAATATTGCACACAGGCTTAAGTACTTTATTTAAAATTACCAGCAATATTATAAAAGTCAAATCACCTTCTGATTATCTTTGGGGCCGACAATTACCGATGTGAAGTAAAAAATCCAAAATTCTAAATAGTGTAGAAAATCAGTGTATGATAGAGCTTTCGATTGACTATGAATCTGAGGTCAACGTTACAAAATTAAATGACAGATCGAATTTCTGAAAATATTAATTATAGCATTTATTACAGATTATTAAGTCGAATCCAAAAGCCATGATTTTATTTTATGAAAAATCTTTAAACTAATCGTAGACTGTTGAAGTTTACATAGTTCGAGAGTATAACTATAGTTTTGGGCAGTCGATCCTCTTACGACATATTAAACACAAATTCCAAAAAGTGACGATACCGTCGGAAAAAATGCACCAGACTGAAAGGTTAAGTGATATTAATTATTAGACGGAAAAATAAAATTTAATATTGGTCATTTTGTTTTTCTTACGTTACAGATGAGTACAAAAGTGGATTTTGAATGTTACCGCGTATTTTTGAAGGTGATTGTAAAAGCGAGAGATGGAGAGAGATATAAATAGAGGGAATTGCGAAGAAAATACAAAGTTTTAGGGACGAAAAATATTTTCCTTCAATTTTCGTCGATTGAGGACGCACCCAGGATATTGTTATGTGTTATAAGGATCTCTGACGTTCTGTCGCAGGACCAGGAGGATTCGGTATAATTTACGACTTAAAATTCTTATCGTTAAATTGAAATTGGAAAAATGGCGGCAGCTGTCACCCTAGCAGATGCCAATAATAATGACTTTCTCAAGTCGAAAATAGGTAGAACGTGAAATATTGCTATTATTATTTTTATTGTTATTATTATCATCTCGTATATCGATTGTTCATGACTGCAATATTTTGGGCTTGCGAATTACGATTTTTTTGTATAGCTTTATAAATTTTTGGTGATGTATATAGTAATTTGTGTGTAAGCTGGTATATCTATTTAGAATATGTATATTATATACATATTTTTTTGGGGAAAAACTCAGGAAATGCGGGCTGTTCGGGTGACAGGTGCTACTTGGAATTTCAATTTGTATTTTAAAAAAATGGAGCTACCTATATAATAAAAAAAGGCACTGCCATCTACAATGATATTATGAAGGGCGGATACGTTTGTTTTATTGTCAAATTGCCTTTTTTTTAAGAAAAAATTTTAACCCAAATTGTCTCAAATTACCCGACCACTTTAATCAACTTTGCTCTAGTATTTTATATTATTATAATTCTAAATAAAATCCTTATATGATTTTCGTATTAGCTTAAGCATTGCGACATGTGCAATTTACACAAATCCTCTTTTTTTTGATAAATTTTACATGCTTTTTTCAGTTCCTCGCTGTAAAAATTGCTGAATAGGTAAAATTGGTTTGCTGGTTGACATCATCACCGTCGGGAAGTTAACGTCAAAAGTTTAATATGCATTAAAACAGAAAAATACATCTTTTTATTACTCTTCCAAATAACCAAGCAAATATGATTTTCTTAATGAATTATTTCACAAGCTCTGTCTGAATATATAATACTTATGATACTGAGTAAGTTTATACGCACAGGTTTCACACAGAATTAACCAATCGCGTGTAAGGTTAAAAGAATAGCCCAACGTAATTGGTTAATCCTTTCCATAACCTGTGCGTGTAAACTTAGTAACCTGCTGCATAAATGCATATATCTTTTCTATCCCCTCCGTTCAGGTTGCTCCTAAGCAAAACATCGAGAGGCATTAGGACTAACAGCAGTCATGTGTCATCGATGTATATATGTAGGTTTCGACACGGCACAAGCCCAACGCATGTCAGTTACTGTTATTTGACTTCCTAATTTTCCAATCTCTCTCTAAAAATTTGATATACAAATTTTTATAAGTTTTAAATTTAAATAATAAATCAATTGTACTAACAATTACTTTTCAGCAATAATTTTCTGTTCTTCTTTAGTTTAATCACATGTCCGTCGACAAATTCTTCGTTGCTGAGAGATTCTGCATTTGGCAGGGTATTTGATCTTGGGGATCTTGGACGAGAAATTTCTTTGCGTTGCTGCTTAAATATTTATCCGTGAATGTCTTCTAATGGGCCACCCATCTTTTTCAATATTATCAATGAAACAAATTAAAGAATTAAATTAGTCACTTTATTTGATGGAATTAATAAATATTTATCTTCTGTGTACTGTTCATCACATTCTCCAATGTTATGCGCTTAGGAATTTTATGGGGAATCACTTCGATATTTTTTATCCTAAAGAATCAGTCTGATTCTCTTCATTGTTTCATGTAGCTGAATAATCGAATTGATCGTTTGCGGAAATAAAGATTCTGCCATATTAGGCATTTATGCAGGCAGCTGCTGTGTTAATATACACGGATTTTAGAAGGGATTGACTTATCACGTTGGGTTGTGGACACGTGGGGCATGTGGAGCTATAAGGTACCGGGTTTGCCACCGAGTATAATTTTTTTTTTCTTTAATCAGGCTACGCTGCGACCGTGGATATGTTGATAAAAATTATTGGGGAAATATATATACGTCAATAATGCAGAATCGTCCACTGGTCAGGTAAGTGGCGCGTCGACGCCGAAATAAAATCTCACTGAAAATCTTCCTACTCATCTCTGCCGTTACTAGTCGAACAAATATTCAAACTTTTGCGATTCACGAAGAGCTGAATAACCCGCGAGAAGAAGAAGGTAAAAATCAATTGCACGAAAATATTGAAAATTCGAAATATTGGATAAAGCTTTTCAAATGTTACGAAATATTAATATCTTGACTCACTTTCGAAATTTATTCGAAATATATAATTGCAAAATATACGGAGTAGATAGAAATTGAATTGAAATTGTAATCCGTCGAAAAATAAATTATGCTCAAATTTAAATATTGATAAATTAAGTGTTTGAAATATAAAAATAATTAAATCAATAAAATTAGATAATAACACTTAGAAATCAGAAATCCTGTTCAAGAATATTTAGAAGTACCGGAAGTTGCCGAAAACTTTGTGCGCGCAAATTCGTCGCGCGGGACTCGGCGAGCCGGAGCAGCGTTCAAGGCAGCGCCCGAATTCTTCCTCGAACCGGTCTCTTATGCGGGTCTCTTGGAATCACCCCTCTGAGTCATTTCCAACCATCTTCTTTTTCTTTATATATATATATGTATTTCTTCCTAACTTCCTTATTTCTTAATCTTTCATTCTTTACTTTCTTATTTATCTTTTTCTTATTTCTTCTCTATTCTTATACCTCTATTTCTTACTTTTCTACTTCTTGACTTCTTTATTTCTATCTTCCTTTCTGTCTTCTCGTTTCAATTTGTTTCCTTTCCCTTTCTATTGTGCTTGTCTCACTTTTCTTATTTCTTTGGTCGGGTTGAGTATATTTATTCGAATAGTCATATAGGGGTAGTCAATCTGTTAGAGAGAGTAGCTACACGTATAGACCTCATGCACTGAGCTTGTTCAGTGGGTCGGGCCCAATCCAAGTTGCGGCCGTAACGGAACCTTCTGGGTCTCCCGAGGATGGCCTTGCGACCCCTTAGAGTTAGATAGGGCCATGGTCTCTTGTATAGTGAATTTGGTGGAATTTTGTGAAATGGATAAAAATGCTCCTCAGAAAAATGCAATTTTAGAAGATAATTTATCGATTTCTATTTTCACGTCCCCTAGTGGAACTTTCTGGAAACATCGTTGGTGCTTAACACCGACATCTGGCGGAATTTCTTGCACTTAACAAAAATGTTTCTCAGGAAAATGCGATTTCTTGAGATAATTTGGTGAATTCTCGTTCCGCGCCCCCAAATGGATTTTTTGGCCACAGCCTAACCTGAGGGGGCTCAAGGCTCCCGTTGGGAAATCTAGGGGTATATCTAGCTATTTAGTATAGCAACAACTTGGGCCTGTCCTGCTTAACAATCGTTAGCGTATAAGGCGGAAGGTCAAGCCCGGATATCATGAAATATATGTGCTCTGATAAGGAGATTACCCTTATATAACTACTCGAGTGATTATGCTCGTCCGTCCTAGGAAACAGGAAAAGTAAGACAAGCAGAGCGGGGAGCGAGGAGGAACAGAACGATAGAAGAAGGCAAAAAGATATAAATAAAGTAATTGAGAAAGAAAGCAAGAAATAAGAAACTGAAGAAATGTCGAAGTAGGACAATAAGGATTAGGAGTATAAAAATAAAGAAAGACAAAGAAATAAGGAAGAAGAAATAAATATTAAAAAAGGAAGGATACAAATGAATGAAAGAACAGCATCTAAGAGGTCAGTATATGAGACCGGCAAAGTGAGTGAGGGGGAAAAAGAGCTAAAAAAAGGCAAAAAGAGATATAGAAAGAAAGCGGTCAAGAAGTAAGAAAGTTTAAATATTTGAAAGTAGGCTAGTAAGGAATAGGAGTATAAAAATTAAGAATAATGAAATAAAGAAAGAAATTGGGAAATACATATGCCCATTGCTCTTAAAATGTATTTTGACACCTCATACACATTTGAATGTAAGTCTAATTAAAAATTCTCTGAAGTTCACCCCTTTAATTTTAATCACTTTCTTAAGAAAGCGTTAGTTCTCCAAGACTTCAGGTACCAAAAGTACCACGTTCGCAATCCGTCCACTCTCCAAATTACAGACAACACTTGGACTGGTCAGTAAAATAGGATTGGCCGATCCTTACATTAGGAAGGATACTAGTCAAGAGCATCAGCCTTATGATGCATTGTATTTACAGCTGCTTATGGATAATTGAAGTGACCAATGACAGAGCCAGAAATCATGATGATCGAAAAACGAGGAAGTGATAATACAATAGAGAAAAGGTATTTCAGACTTGGAAAGCGAATGAAGAGTATAGAAAAAGATATTGTGAAATGGGCCCTGCCCGGCTCATTTTCGTGAGGTCCTACCTCTCCACCAGGGAGCCACGACCCCTCCGAGGTCCAACGGAGGACTGTTCTTGTTTTTGATTGACGAAAACCCCCGAATCCGGCGGCTATCGCAGATAGAACTAGAGGAGAAAAACCTCAGGAAAGGAGAGAAGTCGAGTCGAGCGACAAGGAAAACGCACAAGGTATGGTAGTAAGCTGAACGCCAAAGATACCCCTAGTCAAGATTCACCGCAACGAAAGACCGGGGGGGTAGCACCCGACGGTGCCCTTGCGAGCGTCGCCGGACGTCCCGAGAGACGATATTTGAAGCTAGATTCTTCGCCGCTTTCCACCGAGCAAGC